TTATTTCTAAAACCCGATTAGGATGTTTGGATACAATATTTCCCTTATACATAGTTTCAACACAACGCCCTCGGGCACGCAAGATTAATGTCCATGCGAGCAAATCTTTGGCAAACTACCAAAACAGTTCATTGATTTTAAAATAGACCGCTTATACAATATAGACGACTATTCTAAGGAAATAAAATTTAGATTAGAAATAGCCTACAAAAGAGCAAGAATAACGCTAGAAAAGCATAAAGCTAGAAAAAGCAAATATTACGATAAAAAGCTAAAAGGCATAGAAATGGGAGACTTTAGTAATATAATACAACGAATACCCTACCCTACCTACATGTGTACATAGTGGAACTTTGCATTTACGAAATAATAACCGAAAAATGATTAGCTTATCTGACCAGGCAACCCGCTAAATCAAAAATCGTGATAAATCGACATATTTCTATCTACATATTCTATTCTATCCCCTTGAAAAAAGTTCATTCTCGAAGCAAGATGTTTCAAGTCACAATAAAGATAATTCAGTGACAAATTCCCACTTTAGATGAATTAAGTGCCAGCTGAAATAATCTGTATGAAGATGTATGCTAGAAGTTATTTTATTTTATTTTAATTTTTTATTATCGCTGGAATGTATTTATTATTATTATTATTATTTTTATTAGTTTTTTTATTTATACTTTTTATTTATTTATTTATTTATAAGGAACACTTTATTTTATATCAGTATATACACAAGTGTGAGTGATTTACATGTGAAAGTTAAGAGTACAGGCCATAAACCTTTTCTGCTTAAATGTTAATATTATTTGTTCAGGAAATTTAATTACATTTAGAAACATTATTTTTGAAGGAAAAGTATAAACAAAAACCTCGTAAATATTTTATACTTTTTTGTGCTGACATATACTGCAATTTATAATATGTGAGTTTAATTTAATATAATTCGTTTAGAAAAAAAAATTACTTTTTTTTAGAATTTATTTAATTATATTGTTTATTTTAATTTATGCTACAACTTTTTAATTTTTTTTATTCTTATATATGATAGTATTTGTTTCTGTTTTGAGTTTATATTTTATTTATTTAATTTTATAATTCTTTTTCTATTGTTATTTTTAATTTTCGTATACGTCTGGATTTAACTTTATTCATTGTAAACGTGCTAGAACATTTATTGTTTTATTTATTTAATTTTATTTTTGTGTTTATGCTGTCTGTGCAAATATTTTATTTATAAAATTTAAATTTAATTTCATTAATTTTTTTCTCTGTAAAACAGTTTACTTTTTTATTTTAATTTCTTTTATCAGGCTTTCTTGTTTAAAACCATTTATATAAATATAAATAAATTGAAAAGCTTGTCATATAATCTATGTAAATAGAGTCGAGGGCTTTTTTTAATTAACGATAGAGACAGCAAATAGGAATCAAGGACTTACAGGTTTGCCGTCCTTTCAGCATGGAAAGGCCTTTCCTCGTGGTCGTTGCAATGCTCCGGGTTCCTGGGAGGGGTACAAATATTAATTTTTGTAATATAACATTTATAAATAACTTTGAATTTATATATCGATTTATATTTAAATAACTTTCTTTTGGCCCTTTTCTTAATATTTTTTTCTTATTTTTTAGGTACATATATACATACATACATATATATATTTGTGTTTCTTTTGCATTTGTTATATTATTTTATTGCTATTTATGTTTTTTTTTTTTTTTTTTTTATAGGCGCTCGTTAAATTGTCATTATCTTAATACGATTTTTTTTTAAATTATTATTGTAGCTTTGCATTTAGCACTCTTCACTTTTTTTCATTAAATATATTTGTTTTTTTCTCGCTTTGAAAGTTCCTGGATATATAGATTTATATTTACACAACTTTGTTATATATATTTTTTTTTCTTTTTCTTTTCAATTTGTAATATTATTTTATTATTATTATTTACACTTTTTTTTTACAAGCGCTCGTTAATATATATGTTCATACGATTTTTTTAAAATTATTATTGCAGCTATGCATTTAGCACTCTTCACTTTTTTTCATTAAATATATTTGTTTTTTTTCTCGCTTTGAAAGTTCCTGGATATATAGATTTATATTTACACAACTTTGTTATATATATTTTTTTTCTTTTTATTTTCAATTTATAATATTATATTACATTTATTATAATTTACACATTTATGTTTTTTTACAAGCGCTCGTTAAATTGTCAGCATATATGTTAATCAGTTTTCTTTTTTTTTTTTTTTATTATAATTGTAGCTTTGCATTTAGCACTCTTAAATTTTGTTCATTTAATTTTTTTTTTAACTTTTTCTCGCTTTGAAATTTCCTGGATATATAGGTTTATATATGTAAACGTTTTGACTCTTTTCTTAATTTGTGTTTCTTAGTTTTTTAGGTACACATATATTTCGTTTTGTTTTTAATTTGTAATACTTATTTACAATTATTATGTACCAAGTGCGCAAGTGCTAGTTAAAGTATCTGCATATATGTTAGCACGATTTTTTATAATTATTATTGTAGCTTTGCATTTAACACTCTTTACTTTTTTCATTTCATATATTTGATTTTAATTATGTTAATTTTTTATCGCTTTAAAATTTCTGAATTTTTTTTTTTATAGGTAAGTTTTTTCTTGTGTATTTGTAATATTATTTTCATTATTATTATGTACACGTTTACGGTTCTTTTTCGTTAAATTGTCAGCATATATGTTTACACGATTTTCTTTTAATTTAATGCTCTTCACTTTTTTCATTAAATGTTTTTGTTGTTAACTTATATTATTTGTTTTTTATTTTTTATTTATTTTTTTTCAAGCCGTCTGACACTCTTAACTTTTTTCATTTAATATTTTTGTTTTTAACTTTATATTATGTTAGTTTTTCTTTCTCGCTTTAAAAAAAAGAGTCCATCGTTGTGGAGTCTGTCTCCTAATAGAATTGCGTAATTCCGTCCAATTTTAGGCGGAAGACCCAAGGGCGTGTAACGTATCACTGGATTTCCCTGGTTCGAACTACAAGAGTCTGATCTTTGTAATGATCTTGTTGCTGGAAGATGTAAATTAGATTACTAAAGGTTACAAGAATAACTATTTCCGTACCTTTCTAATAGCAATTACGTCCCAATATATGTAGGGCTTGGCATCGCCAACGAAGATGGATAGCTGGATCTCACAAATTAAAGAGAAAACTGTTTGAGATTTTAGCTTCTTATATGAATATATTTTGGAGCATATCAGTCCGCTCCATTTGAATGTCGTCTGAGAATTGATTTTTATTCAACTTTATGAACGCGCTCAGCCCATATACATAGGACATAAAACTCTGTCGCTGCGAACGGCGGCAGAGCGGGAGTATGTAGCATGTATACATATATATGCAAATGGCATATACCCCAGACATATGTATGCATATATACATACATACATACATATAAGCCATGCAGTGACTCCGCTAAGCGTTAAAATGCAGACGCTGCAGTTCTTGCGGCTCAGTTGCTAGCCGATCCACACACACACACACAAGTACACGCATGCATACATATGCGGCCGATCAAATTTCATGAGCATTCATGGATGTCTATATGATTTCAAAAGTTATCACTATGCTATTTGTGTTGGTCAGATGTCAGATATTATTAAGAAATATTAAGAATAATAAAATATATTAAGAAATAACGTTATTTTCTAGATGTGCATTGTGTATTTTTAAGTGATATTATATTGAATATTACATATATATACATATATTATTGTGTATTTTTCAAAGATATTTGTGTGTTGGTTTCTTATGTATTTTTATCGCATTCAACTTTGTATACAAAAATGTTGGACTGTCAGCTCTTCGAAGGGTTCAAGCAGGGAACGAGCCGAATTACTTACTTAGCACTTTTACTTATTTTTATGTTTTGTTCCCATACTCTAGTATGCTTTCCTCTTTTCGTACATTGCTCTATGGGCTTTATGCCCTTTGTTGTTATATTCTGTTGCGTCTTATTATTGATTATTATTAAGTTCTTTTGCATTCATCAATCCAGTTTGTTATGCTCTGAAAAAAGACAATGTATTCAAATTTTGACACACTTTTCATCAATTATTGCGACAGCTAATATGAGTTAGCCGGCGCCCACAAATAGCCAGAATTAATAGATAATAAGCTCACTAGTGGGGATGCTGAAGTACCTCGTATTTTACTACCTAATTGGCAGCTTAACAAGTTGCCTTTAATAAGCATAAAAAAATAAAAACTTTTCATCAACCGCGCAAAAGTATGCCACAGAATTCGATGCTCAACAGCATATCCGAGGATCAGTGTTGCCAGTTTAGCCTATTTCTGGCTATTAAAGTGGTCTAGCCTATACAATTTCCATATAGCAGTCAGCAATTGAATGAATGGATATATTTTGTCAAATTAGGAATTGGCGGCAAGAACAAAAATAAATAAAAAAGATAATTCCTATTCATATATTTGTTTCCATTTTGTCATCTAGCCTGCTATCGCGACATTTTTCTATTTTAGCCACTTTTATCCTATGTTTATCCACAGTATCAACAGCTGGCAACACTGCTGATGGTTGCGGCATATTCTGTGATACAACCACATAATGGATGTTCCTTTAATGGATATTTCAATTAGCTGAAGTTTTTGTATCAGCTCTAGTATAAGAAATATACGATATTTTCAAGAAAAATGCTATATATAAGGTTAATCCCTATTTTTATGCATCTTTAGTATTCGAAAATTTGTCTTTTAGCTGATTTCTTTTTTAGGGACGAAACACTAGAGCTGCTTCGTATGCTTCAGCTATAATTGATCCCGGTGAAATCGTTAGACTTGTTTTATGATATATATTCATAATTTTAGCCCAGAGCTCCCTTCTTTCAATGGGTATAAAAAAATTGAGTTTGGTACCTGAACTTGGCGACTTTAATAAAAACAAATAGGCAATTTGTTAGTAGTTTTTTTTTTTATTATTTTTTATTTTTTTTTTTAATTTATTTTTTTTTTTATTGTCTTACTTTGATTACAGACATTTCTGTTAGGATAAATAGTAATCTATGTACGTTGAACAAGCAGCATTTCTTTGATTAAGTGGATAGCGATTAAAATTTTTTGATATGATAATGAAGATACTACTTATATAATTAATTCATTTTTGTTCGCACTGTTCTACGCCTGCATTAGAAAAGTCACTGCCTATATATCTATATATATATATATATATATATATATATATGGATTTTCACATAGACGACCTTAATGTATACAGTTTTGCTATAGATCTATCTGCAATCTGGTCTTAATTATGAACTGATCAATGCTATTTTGTCATTGCTTCCACTAATCAACTAATAATGATTATCTGACAAAATGAACTGCATTCATTGTTTTCTCCACAATCCATTCTGCATCTGTAGAACTGTTACAACTTCGGTTCTTCCGAAGAATAAACTATGATTTCTTTTTAATTACTGCAAATGATAAATACCCTGAAGTCATTTGAAATGGAGAATCAGGGCATAATGCATTTGTTTTCTGAAGGTATATGTACTATATTCGTGGACGGATTGGCTTATAAAATGTATTTAAAAAAAAAAGCTATTTTATAGGAATTTATAATAATATATATGTATATACATACGTACTGCATCGGACAATGCATATAATATATATACGTATTATTATCTGAAGTCCCCGAAAATAGTATGTACTGTTTGCAAGCTCATGTTGAAATAGAGTAGTCTTTTATGTTAATATTCCTTCACCCGAATAACAAATTCTATTTAGTATTTGTATCTCTAGCTATTTTTAGTAATACTATCAAAAAGTCTGTAAGCTATCCACAACACAACTGAAGTAATGTCATCTAAGTATGTATGCATATGTCTTCATTTCGATATCTCTTTGAGTTTGCTTAGCGGCAGTAGAATGGAAATAGATCCAATTTCAGTTTGGTCCAATTTCAGATATACATGTACATATATAAATATATATTTACTTAAAGGCAGCATGGGGTCTAAAGCAGCTGAAGGTATATAGAGAATATTTTGCCTATTATATATGTATATATATATAAAAAAAAAATAAAATTTGTGTTTGAATTTTACAAGAGTTCAAATTTATCAGGCAATTGTAATTGGCACTTTTGTTAGTAATATATTATATATATGTAGGTATATAGAATATATATAGATAATTGTAGATGTGGATTCACGCTGCTGCATTGTGATGATTAAGTTAGTTATTAATCGGAAAAGTTGATCGACTCGACTAATCCCAGATTCAAACTGATTATAAGCAAATCTAACTACTACTCTGATAACCCTTCCCGTTACATACTTTGCCGCTTGTGAGTTGATTTCTTAATTAAAGAAAGTATTATATATATTAATAGAATAAAATTGACTTGATTATCGAGAGACATAGATAGAGGAAGGGGGAGAGAGGGGAGGAGAAACTATGCGTCTACCATTTGCGCGTCGGCGCTGGCAGTTGTTTTTCTGATTGGAAGACGCTGCGATGCGTCTCCACGTACTCGCTTTGTGTCTGGGAGACAATGCGCTCCTCGGGCTGGCCCGCTACGTGCTGAGCTAGCGCCAATGGCTGGAAGTGATGAACGAGAAGATTTGAATAATGCAAAGCAATGGGGGAGAATCGAAACTCACCTGACGTGCTCGGTAGGCGCGAGGCGTGCCCTCGGGCGAGGAAACCTCGACGTCATCGGGTGCTGTCCAGTGCTCAGTGAACTCGCTGGCCGAGCGAGCCAGCGATGGATGGCTGATTGAGCGATGGAAGGAGCGTCGGTCTTCATCATCGTAGTACTGCATACGATAATACGAGCTGGCATCGCTCACATTGTCCAGGTTGTCCGGCTGGGGCCGGCCGAAGTCGACCGTCACCTCGGACATGGACCGGAAATCGTTGTGATCTGTCTGGTATGAGGTGCGAGAGCTACGGCGCGATCGCTGCGTATTGAAGGGGCCGGGCCCAGCCATCGGACCGCCGTGCAATGGCAGTGTCGGATCGTTGCGTATGGTACGCACGCTGGAGCCGCCGTCGCTGTCGTACTCGTATAGCGTTGGCAGCGAGCTGCGCCTGGAGCGGGTATCCCACGGCTGTGGCGGCGCCTTCTTGCCGCGCTTGGGTGCGCGCATTTCGACGTCCGTCTCGTCGTCGCTGGGTGGCGCCAGGATGCGTATGATGACGTCCCAGGTCTGCGGCTCGAACATGCGCTCGTACCGCGTGTCCTGGCGAATGCGCTCGAAGTCCTCGCGCACTACCGCCTCGGTCAACATGGTGCGCAATGAGGACTGCGTGGTAATGATCTCCTTCCACTTGGCCCTGTCATCGTAGCTGATGTTGTGAACGGAACTGGTGTCGTCGCCGATCTCGGATAGTTCGGGCTCCTCCAGAATGCGTATGAGCACGTCCCAGTTGGGCACATCCTTGTCCTGCGGCGGTACCTCAATGGGTTTCATGTTGCCAACTAGCTCGGGGCTGGTCAATTTCTGTTTGTTATCGTGGATCTGGGCCGGCGGCTCCGCCGGTGGCAGGCTTAGCTCGGTGCGCGACATCTTCGGCGTGAGTGTTAGCCCGGAGGCGCTCGAGATATCCGAGAAGTTCTCCCATTGCTGCTGCTCGCGCTCGCTTGGATATTTGCGCACCTTCACGTCGAACGTGGGATCAACCACCGGAGGCGGTGGTGGCGGTAGTGGGGCCTTCGGCTTGCTCTTGTACTCGGTGACGCGTCGCTTGTGGCTCTCAATGTCCTCGATAGTCTTCTTCTCGGTAACCGTACGCAAATAGATGTCGTCGACAGTGTGGGATGTCACGGCAGGCAGCGGTGGCGGCGTCTGCACCACTGGCTCCGCTGGCACATACTCGTCCTCGTAGTAGTGCATCGTGTCCACCGCCCGACTGGTGTCGTGGACGACCGATCGCTCGGGTGCCTCCGAGGACAGATCTGTAATCTCGCTCGGTTCCGGTCCGTCGGTGTAGTCAGACCAGGTTTCCGGACGACCGTCGACAACCTCATGGTGAGTGCGAGTATAGACGGAGAACTTGGGCTCGGCTACCATCGGAATCGGTTGTGGCTGGGGCATTTGCGGTGCCGGATGTAGCTCGGGCACGTACGTGAACTGGGACTGCATCGTCTCTACTTGGTGTGGCAGTGAGTCCATGGTCATGACACTCTCCCGGTCCTCGTAGCCCTCCATGATGGTCGACAAGTTGTTGCGATCTCCCCGAAGAGTCGCCATGCTCTCCGTGTCGGATGTGACGGGTGATGGGATGGGCGGTGGCGATTTCTTCACCCTCACCTGAACATCAAACTTGGGCGAGCCAGCCAACGGCTCCTGCACTGTAGCAGTTTGTCGCATTACCGTGGATATCACAGCGTTGGCCGCTGGCACTTCCTGAGCTGGAGCATAGTGGTCACTGTAGATACTGGACGTTTCCTGAACAAATGCCCGATTCTCGAAGCTGCCCGCAGAGCTGAACGGCAGCGATCGTGTATCAATCTCCTCGATTTCCGAATGCGACTCACTGGGGTAGTCCGAAGGTATCAGAGCGCCTTCGCTGCCCGACGAGCTATAGACGGCCTGGAGAGCCGCATGAGCACGCGGTATCTTCACGCCCTCGAATGCACTGATGTTGCCAGCGCTACTGCCGCTCAGCTTGGTGATCTCTGAGCCGCTGCCCATGCTCATCGGCAGACGTCGCACCACCGGAATGGGACGACTACGCAAGCAGTAGTAGGAGACGGCCAGACCCAACAGCAGCAGGGTCAGGAACATGATGGCGCATATGATCATCAAGATCTGAATGCCCTTCAGTGGCGGCTGAAGTACAGAGCCCGTGGCAATGGGATTTAAGCTGCAAAGAGCATCAAGATGCATGAAAAGCTTGTTGGAGATAGGAACGAATAGGAAGCGAATAGGAAGCGGGTAGACAACCATCCACTCAACCACTTACATGGGTGCTGGCAGTGCGGGTGGCAGAGAGGGCACCGGCGGCGGATAGCGACAAACGATTGTGATGATCTCATCGCCATCCATCTCCAAATTGGCATGGAAGCGGACAATTATGTTGTTGGTGAACACGCGTGTGGGATTCTGTTGAAGCCAGACGACAAGACATGACATTGATCTGCGCTCAAATCATTAGCTAGTTCTAGCCATACCTGTATTGTTCCACAGCCCTTGAGCGGTAGCTCCAGGCGATAGCTGAGTGCGCCTTTACCACTAACTCGACAAGCGCTGCTCCGATCGTAGTCAGCCTGAATGATGCCGTGGAAGGGATCATTGAATTTGAGATCAACCTGTTGCAAATGAAGACTTGATTGTTTTATTCCGACTCAGCTTTATGCATATCCTAATGCACTTACTTGCATTGAGCCGGCTGCGCAGTTCAACGCGGCTTTGGTGCGATTCAAAAATATCAAGGGGCTAATGTCATCCAGTTTGGTTACCTATAAAAAAATGGGGGAAAATATAAATAGAAGAGTCGGATCAGAAAGCGAATTCGAACTGAGGTCTGTACTCAAATTGTGGAAGCTATTAGTTCCCCTATCCCCTATAAACAGTTCCTAATGTGGCTGAGTCCTAAGGCTAGCTCTACTGTAGCTATGTAATCAATGTATAAAGCAGATACGGACTGTCGATGAGCACAACGAATATACTCGCTTTAGTAAGTGAACGAGTAACAAAAAAATATCCTAACTCTACATAAAAGTTTGTTAGCTTAGTGGGATTTGTGCTCCTGCTGTATACTCTTTACTACTACTCGAACAAGTGTAAAATTGGTTTAATGAGACTATAACTTGCCTTCCTATTAGCCGCATTTGTATACGGTCACAGTCTGGGCGTGGGAAGCTCCTCAGTCAAAGACAATTCATTGCGCTTCTATGGATTATCATATTATATAAGCTACTAGTGTGGGCTCGCGTCGCATGACAGTTGCTTCCGTTGCTCTATGGAATTGTGTTTGTCCTCGATACGACCACAATGCAGGTTCAAAGACATTCAAGTGTCTCAGCCTCAACCTAAGCAATGAGGTTATTGTTGCAAAGCAAATACTATCAGACTTCTTCACATTGTGTCGATTCGTATTGGCCCTCTTTCAAAGCAGAGCAGTGCAACTTTGCTGATCGACACTGAGTCCCAAATATTTTATTGAGCTGTTCTCTATTTATTGGGGCCAATCCAATCATTACGTATGTAGATATTGTAATCTATCTCTCACAGCTGATCAGTTCATACTCAGAATGGATTGAATATTAGCGAGTTAGACTATCCGACTTGGAAATACCCGAAGCATGCTGCTGTCTCACTTAGTAGACTAATAATATTCGTTATTCCTTTAAGCTTACGCAAAAACCAAATCATATGTAGCCGACTGTGGAATACTGCTTAACGAGATGTCAGATCTATTTTCTGATTTGCCACGCCCCCAATTTGCATATATACATTAGAGGAAACTAGTAGCCGTACACATATCCGGCATATCTTTTTTAGTTCAATTCTCAATTAAATTCTCTTCTCAGATACCCAAAAAGCAATTTCCAATCGGATCGGAAAAATCTTTATACTCTGTAATACCAGGGCCTACACAAGCATATGTTCTACAATTATGTTAAGTCTCTGGCTTCATACGGACAGACAGATGGGCATTGCACAAAGCCAATATACTCATTTCACTTTCGTGAATGAGTACAGTTATACAGTTTAATATAGCTGAATCTTGTATTGTAGTGCTTGCACTTAGATATAATTATGAGTATTGATATACAAATGTATATGAATATATGTATGTTTGTCTGACTATATATTGGGAGTATCAGGGGAGTGTTCAAACCTCGCAAATCTACACATTTGCTTGTCTGTAGTCAAGGGACAATAATGTGGCACTTACCTTGCCATCCAGGGTCGCCTCCTCGGGCAGTCCGTTTGTGGAGTAGTTGCCGCTATCGCCATGCTGCACGTAATTGGATTGGGCCAGCGCTTTGCCACCGAACAGCAGGCAGAGGATGGCGGCGTAGCTGAGCAGCCAGCTGGACCGCAGCGGCCGTGGGTCGGACTTCATTTTGCTAGAACGTGGTATAGTATCTGCGCGACGGAGGGAATAGAGAAGGCAAAGAGAACGCTTGAAATTAGCACAATGATCAGCCCGCAATGGAAACGTGTGCACACAATAAAGCCCACATAATACTAGACTAGACTGCGGCCCCGGCCCAAACCAGGCCCAGCTCTGGCCCCCAGGTGGCGATCGTGCTGAATTTGGAGTTGAGTAAGCCTGGTTGCAGCTGCAGCTGCACACGGACACCAAATCGTTGGCTATCTCCTGCCGCGGATCGTTGCAGCTGCACTCGGCGGGCATTACGATCAATTATCGTCAAGTTTGCCAAATTGGGGTTACACGAGCTCGGTCCAACTGGGGCCTGCATCTGGTTAATAGTGACTGTGATTGTGGCCCATGGCGAATCGTTGGCTAATAAATGGATATGGATCATTTGAGAGTTGCATTGTCTCTTCGTTTCGACTGGCGTTTCTATTGCGGATATTCGAACCGTTAGCTGCCAAATTGCCAATGACCCTCTGTCAACGACCTTCGGCCCAAATCAGACGAAAAGTGTACCAAAAGAAAAAAAACCCAAATCTCAAAACCAAAATCAAAACAAAGCGAAACACACACAAAAAAAAAGATCTTTAACATGGTTTCTCTTAGGCAGTCTTGAACAATAAAAAAGACATAAGAAGCAGAACGCATTTCTCATCGGCTTCTTTCAACAGAACTTTGTTGCTCTCAAGCGCTTTCTTCACAAACAAAATAAAGATTGTACTAGAAATGGCAAAAAAAAAAAAACAAAAACACAGTGTGTGTGTGCCTTTTGCACAGATTGATGATAAAGCCGAGACTCGTGTCAAGTCCTCTAGAAAGTGGCTCGAAAGAGTCATTGATCGTATTCGCTTTTAATGGCCAAGTCGGTTCAAGTGGTCTATGTATGGCTGTATTGCATAAGCCAGACCAATATATATATATATATATATATATATATATATATATGTGAGGCTCTTACATCAATATATCTTATCCACAAAAGACATATAAAACTCCTACGACACTTTTGCCATATTTGTCAGACAATCGCCTTGAGTCGACGCAGCTGCAGCTCGCAGCTCGAGAAAACCGACAACGTCGGGCAAAATGTTGGCATTTTGTGGCTCAAATTCTACTTGACTTAGCATTTGTTGGCCAAACAAGTTTCAGTCACACACACACACACACACACACAGACAGCTATAGCTGCAAATGCTTGTAGGAGAACCTTTGCAGACAGATATTATTTTAAGCTCTATGGCTCTGAAAATTCCTTGACGGTAAAAGCTAATCAATTCAAGTGCACTGCGACATGCATATATGTATGTACATATATGTGAATACATAAGCGCAAGTAGTCATGCTCTCTCTCTCTCACTCACTCACACTCACTCTCTATATACATATATGTCGTATCAAAACTGGCTTTTTCAGTTATATTTGCATTGGTTGCCTTTTGCAGATTGGAGTTAGTCATGTTGCTAATTTAATATATATTTTGAAGGTTAAAAGAACTTGTATTGACAGACTATATATACATCTACTGATATACCAGATATATACCAGACTGTCAGCCAATCAAAGATTTTCAGAAATTTAATAAAAGCTCGAAATGTGCAAAAAAATAACTAACAGTAATATTATTAGAAAACAATAGATACGATTTATAGACCCACACACACACACACGCACATCTGTAAAGAATTTCTGAGTGTGTGTTTAAGCCTTATTCAGTTATTGTACCTGCACATTGTTGTAATGGTACTCGCACAAAAAACAACAAAAAACAAACTCGTACCTATCGAGCCACATTCAACTACCTACAAACGTGCATGCATACATGTACATGCACAGATACATACATACATATATATATGTACACATGTACATACATGCACGGCATGTCGTCGCACTTATTGAAAGACTTGGCGCAACAATAAGCTCAGATGACGGCAATTTCGAGTAAAACTGGTATTTTGAGTTGCCGTAGATCGCGTCCGTCTGTCCGCGCGCGTACCTAAACCCAGCTTATGCGGCTCTGGCTCTGGCTCTGGCACTGGGCACTGGCATGGCTTAATGATTACGTGACGCGGGAGACAAAGTAGCTGCCAGCAGAGCTGATGAAAATATGTCGGGAGTAACTAGTCAATGCGAATATGGTTGACTCAAGTACGTCTGCTGCTGCTGCTGCTGCGACTGCTGCTGCTGCAATGCCAAATCAATTCATACATACATATGTGTATGTGTACAGGCTATCCCTTTGGGCTCTACACAGCACCAATACCAATATTGCTTAAGCTGCATAAAAGCCAGCGGCAGAGATGGAGGAGAGAAACAACTTCGAGTTAGCTCAGCTTTGCCAAACTGCTAACCCACGCAACACGACGCCCTGAACTTGATGTACATACACATGTATGTAGTACATTTGTATACACACATATACATACACATGTATACATATGCATACACATTGCACAAACACACACATGCGTGTGTGTTTGCGAGCTTGAATATCTGCGCTTGTTTATCTGAGTCAAAGGTATTACATTGGGATTCTGTTCAAACCAACTACAAAGTTAATACTTTAAAAAAATAAATTAAACTATTTCAAATTGATTTAAAATATACTGTTTACAAATAACTGATAAGTAGTTAGAGTGCATTAAATATTTTGTAAATAATATATATATATATCTACATTGACTTGAGTATTTATATATATATATATATATATATATATATATATATATATATATATATATATATATATATATTATAAATACAATATAAATAAGATTTAAATAACTTATTTTCAGTTTTTTTTTTTTTTTTTTTTTTTTTTTGTAAATAAAATGAAAATAATATTTTAATAATAATTTTATTTTTATTTTAATACCACTTTTACTAAGGTGCTAATAAAAAAATCAATAACGAACTGAAAATAAATTATCCAAATATTTTTTATATTTTATTAATAAAACATTGTTAAAAAAAATATTTAAAATGAATTTGCTTTTTTCTAACAATGTCAATATGTATAATATAAGGTTTTAAAATGTTATAACACATTGACTTGAGTATTTAAAAAAATAAAAATAAAATAAATAAATAAATTTTAAAAAATTAAAAAAAAAATTTAATTAATTAATTTTGTTTTCATTATTAACAAAATTATTAAGAATCTTTGATTTCATTTTAAATTTTAGTAAATGAAATATTTAAAAATACATACTCAATTCATTTTTTAATTCTATTTAAAAAAGAAAAATACACAAATATTTATTAGTAATAAAATTTTCTATAATTATTTGCAATTCATCAATTTTAAATATTTAAAATTGTTTTATATTTTATAGCAAAGTTGCTTGCAACAATTTACCGTAACTAAAATATTTGAAAATTGTATGTGAAACATGGAAAGAAAATTGCCAAAGATCAAGCCAGGTTGGAGTGAGGAAAGATGGGAGGAAATTCAATGGGAACTAAGACAATTAACTGAACATCATCACCCTAAGCATAGCAGCGAGCGTACAAATCGAGTATGTATACCTAGAGAGCAGCTCACCTGCCTAATACTAATACTCTCTCAAACGCACACTGAGACACACGCATTGCTGTATTTGTGTTTTCATGGAACTCGGAGGGAGTTTGAGAACGATTCTATGCACTGCTCGAGCGATCCACTTGGATGACATAGTGCCAGATGCATACACGCTATACTATATAGATATGTGAGTGATGTTTAACACAAAGTATGCACCCATTATATAATGCAATGCAAGAGAGCAAAAAATAAGACAAGCAATTTTCAGGTCTGATGTTTCCCATCTCATTGACACACTTTGCGAATATTTCATAAACATAAATATAAATAATAATAATTAGTTATCCAGTTGGAAAGGCATGCATGTAAGTTACTATGTGAGTTTTTGAAACACAGAAAAAAACAAAAACAAAAAAAAAAAAAAAAAGAAAACATCAACAAACACACACACACATACACATCAAAAAAAGGAAGGTGTTTGCAAAACGCGACTAAAAGCCCAATCACATGCAATGGATGTGAATGAGCACAGTTGAATACCCAAATGGATAAATATGCAATGCTCACTTTAGCCGATATGCACTGTACTCTATTGAACGTTAGCTAAACCGTAAATCGTCTATGCATATATACATACATATGCATGAACATCAAGCCGTAAACAACAGAAATTTCGCAACGGTACTGCGGGACGAGCTTCTCTTGTTTCAAATTTTGTAAAGATTTTTCTTATATGCGTCGCGATTCGATGTTTATTTATTTTTTGTTTTTGTTTCGCTGTTGTTGTTCGTTCGTTATTATAATTTAAATTTTTTCTATTTTTTTTTGTGAATTCTTTGCAAGCGGCCAATAATATTTTGTCCGGGCCCGAACGCGCTCTAGTAGATTACCTGCTTGCGACTGTTGCGTTCGTTTGCCATTTGACGGCTATGAGCGAGCGTTTGGCGCTGCTCCACACAGCGTCGGCCATTTCCGCTCCCGCTCCCGCTCCCGTTCCCGCTCCCACTCCCGCTTCAACTCAGCTTGGCTGCCACTTTTAACCATGTTGGCTTACCAACATTCGAGCTTTGCCCACGTATGTATCTGTATCTCTCTGTGCGTGCGTGTGTGTGTGTGTGTGTATCTAGTTGCTTCTCTGCTTGCTTGCGTGTGTGTGTGAGTTAATCACTACGAGTTGCGACTCTCAGACGCTCTCTGCTCAGCGACGCGGTTTTTGACTTGTTCGCCAGCTCAGCTCCCTTCTGTCCACCCCTGTCGCCCCTCTCCTACGGCTAGCACGCCTCTGGCCCCTGTTGCGCCCTTGGCCCAGCGGAGCGCGACGAATTTTTATAGCCAGAACCAGCTAAAGCTAAAGCTGGCCTTCGTCCCCCAGCATTCCCCCGCCCCATCCGCCTCTATCTAAACTGTTGCGATCAACTAGCCGCGAGTCTCTGGCCAGAGCTGAGCTCAGCTCGGTTGGTAGGGTTGGGTATCTCGGCACCAGCATCGGATTCAGTATCTGTACAAGTTTCTCTCGGCATGTTGCCAAACCTGTTATGTTCGCTATAATAATTGCGTTGGCACCGTCTCATGCACCGTCTCTGGTTGTTTCTCTGGCTCTGTTTACGTATTTCTCAGCCGTGTGCTGAGAGCTTGACTACGAAAGAGCTGCAGATCGACTTTGATTGACGGTGAGCGCCACGTTGTTAAGTTTTCCTTCTCATTGAGCACAGACAATGCGCACAGACATAGGCACAATTAATGCCGATGCTCAGCTCAGCTCTGCTCAGCTCCGCTCAGCCCAGCTCGGCTCTCAAAGAGGTTTTGTTCGCCAGTGACTCTGCGAAGTGATGACTAAAATGTGATTTAATGACAGCATTTCTCTAGCTCACAGCTCGCCAGTTCGATTCTGCTTTGAGTCATAGGCATATTTCTTAGAAAACCCACATACCCAGTTTCGCACATTGCATTCCTCGAATATCAGACGAAAACATCTTTGATCCTATAATGCAAATTCTTTGCGTATTATTTTCTACATGCTTGTACGCCTATACAGAACTACATTTTTCATAGCATTAAAGTCTTAATTCTGAAGAGTTTAATCCGATTGTGGGGAAGTAAAGTTGCTGACAAGCTGTTTTTATACTCAAGCACGCAGTGGAATGGGGTATATTGGGTTTTGTACAACCATCCGACTATATGTGATTTGATAGGCAATATCCTAAATACTGATGCTCTCTCTGTAATGGAATTTACAGATCAGTATTACGATAACATTATATATATTAGATTTAATTTATTTAATCTAAACGCTTCTTTTCGATTTAAGAGCTTTCCCAAATAAGTATTCTTCCGCTGTGTCAAAGCAGAAGACCCCATATACTCTACAGTTACTGATACTTTAAAAAATAATGTTTGAAGTGATAATTTCAGAGACTTCGATAGAGTATTATACACTCCAATGCACTCGAATGCTATGTTCTGATATATTGTATTTCTTACTTGTATTACTTATAAATATTTTGTGAATATATTAGATTTTAGCCAGAGATGTGGAACTATTTCTATGTTTCCAAATTGCGTGACAATTGAACACGAAAATTGCCACATAATTGAATAATGTTTCTATCTATAGCGATTGGGATGTAAGATTAATTTGCTATAACGAAGCACAATGAATTACGTAATATTCTTATGTATAGAATATTCATTTTTTCTGTCTATATGAATACGCAAATCTTTGAAGATCTCATTGAAGATTAATATTTAGATTCAATAAAACTATTACTATAGCTTTCCCAACCCAATTCTCCCCTTTTAGCTCCACTCCAAATGACACCATAGCGATCGACTGTTTGTGCAGTTTTAAGTCTTTCAATGTGAGATCTATAACTTGGATAGAAGTTTTATAAAGTTGCAATCATTAACACCCAGCAAGACCTATTATATTTTAGTAAGCTGGAAAATTGATTGATAGTCATAGTTTGCAGATCGGGTAGAGTAACAGTCTGGGTCTTAAATGTGAGAAAATACCTGTTTAACCAATCGGTATAAATTGAGGAAAATTTCAAAGTTCGGATGGTACTCTAACTAACTTTTTATTGGACCAGCTCTCTAGGTGCGTTGGATTTCGTATCTGATTATCATTAAAAAAAGAAAGCCTAGCGCACTTATTAATGCTACAAAACTACATATATGAAAATACTCATTTATCCCGCTTCTAATACTATTTATAATCAAAACTAAAATGTCTACTTAATGTCATATTATTTACACATATGCATGTATATATAATATTTATTACATTGCACTATGGGCGATTTTCCGTGATAGGCGGCATTAAGTCCAAAAATTGATGGTGAAATATTAAGAAAATTTTGTTATTCCTCAGTTGTTAACACTCCAATTAGATGGACAAATTGTTTGTGAATTTTGGGGGTAAATTCTTTCTTTGTGGGAACGCATTAAAGTCAGCTGATCTGTTGAAGCTTCTTGGTATACAAATTGGCACGAAAAATTTTCTTCTGCTGTAGATGGTCAAATTATTATTGTTTTCATTTAAAATTTAAAAAATCAAAAAGGAAAAAAAGCTCAAGGTATTTGTTATCTGTAGGTAACATTATAATGCATAATTGTTTGTGTGTTTTTTATTGTCCAGTGTTATTGCTGATTGTATTTTTAGCAAAAAATCTAACAACTTTAATTGTGTTCTGTGGAGTATTACTTATAAAGTGCATATGAAAACATGCACCTAATAATGGCAAGCTACTAAGCAATATGTCTAGTTTATGGTATTTGAAAAAAAAAAATGCACTTAAAGTTTCCTCTGCGTTCACCACCTACACACTTCTTGATATTTGGAACAACAACAACCACAGCCGAATAACCTTTACTATCTATATAGTGTGAGTTCTCTATCAACACAGAAAAGTACGAAAGTTTTTGCAGAGAAAAAAAAAACTGAAATTTACGTATACTTAATAAGGGGGCGAAAAAAGACTTGGCACAATTTAGGAGAAGAAAAATCCGAAATTCAAGAAAAATATTAGTAATATAATACAACAAAAAATTAGACTTTATGCCGCCAAAATCGACAAATGGCTTATAGTGCACTGATTTACTTGACATCCTATGTATATAATTAATACATTGAATATAATATTGTGCATACATACATATATGACATTGAGTCGATCTTTAATTAGTATTTTAAGCTTTCCCAACAGTAATTATATTTCGCTCTAAATACAGTCCAATATTAATTATTTACTGTTATATTTACTGGAATTGAAGATCTTATTAAGTGAGATACAAAAAATATACATTTTAATATTTCAGAACGGAAAAACACAGCTCGTCCTATTGGAAATCCATATCTTATGAGCTATAGTTGTAGGACCCATAGATTTTTGTTGTATCTTGTTTTTTTATTATATTAAGTCACTTCACCTGATCTTATAAATCCCAGTGTTAAAATACTTAAACTAAGCTAAGATATTCTGATATGATCACAGACTAGGTACTAACTGTGTTTGTGCCTATTTTCGTACAGTTCATAAATAATAGTCTAACTGATTTCGGCGAATTTCATTAAATAAACGAATTTAATAAAATGGTTAAAAACATTACAGTAAATGGGTTTTTCTATAAATAACAATGCACTTATTTCGATTCTTCCCAGTCGATCACCAATCGTCCTCAGTATCCTGTGATATCTCTAGGCGAAAGCTGGTGACAAAATCTTCCAATTTGCGACGACAATTCCTGCTCAGCGGATTATTGCGCAGATCCACCACAGTCAGGCAATCACTGCTGATGGCTTCGTCCGTGTCGATCTCTGAAAATGAGGATCGATGGGAATGCTGATTGGGCTTAACCAACTAATGGGCCTCAGTACTTACCCAAAATGGCATTATGTTGAGCATCCAAACTGGCTAGCTTCTGAAGCTTAAAGACGACTTGAGGTAATACAATAAACGAATTATGCGAGATATTTAAGTTAGTTAAAGCACTCAGATTGGCGAATTCGTCTGGCAGCTTTGACAACTGATTATATGAGAGATTGAGATCTGAAAATGGCATTAATCGAAATTCATTATAAACTCGCATTGTATGTATGTAGAGCTATATTGTAATCCGAATAATCACCTGTAATTGCGCTAAACTTCAGCGCAAACTTTGGCGTCACCTTCTTCAGCACATTGCCACTAAGGTTACAAGTTTGTAGCTCTGTATTCCGCATCAGGTGATACACTGCATCTGGTATTTGCATGAGTTCACATTCTGATAGATCTGAAAAAGAGAATTGAGGATATATCAATGTATGGGAAATACATATGTGAATACTATATATGCATAGTATATTGAATAAAAGTTAAGGCTAAGCTATAAGAGATTAGGGTATTCTCTAGTCAGACCTTCTAAACTAAACAATGGCAACTCGTTGCTTTGGGGTATTCTCCAGCCAGACCTTCTCCACTAAATCATTGACAAAGATTACAACAATGATGACTCACGATCAGGTATTCTCATAATTCCGGCATTCTTTGAGAGAATAACAAGTTAAGGTATCCCTTATTCAGTCACTATCAATGAAAATAACTACAACAACTCTCTAGTCGGGCATTCTCAATACAACTCAATGGTTTAGTGTATGCTCTAGTGAAGCATTTTCAAATGAACAATGAAGGACTAGGGTATTCACATTTAGTCAGGCATTCTTGAATAGAATAACGATGCATGAAGGAATCAGGGTATAGTCATAGTCAGTCATTATCATACATAAAAAAGAACAGCAGTGACAGCTCAATGCTTAAAAGTTAAGCTCTAGTCAAGCATCTGTTGATATTTTTATATAGCACATTTATATAATGTAGACCTATACATATGTACATATATCATTGTATCTACATATGTAAATTCATATGTGTGTATGTATGTATCTATTTTCTTACATATTTTGCCTACAAATTGAGAACTATTTATGACACATTCATACACACACGCACTTTTATACAAATACCTGAACATACGGATGTGTGACTACATATACACATTTATATTTATATTTATATTTATATTATTATATGAAGGTCAAACCTTACCTAAATGTGCACTTTCCTTTGCATTTTCGCACCGCTCAATTACTTGAACCACCAAGTGCGCCATTTCCGTACCATATGTTCCAAAGGCTTATATGCATATACATGTATGTATGTATGTTTGTATGTATGTTGCACTGCTCGCACGCTTACCACTGCCCTGCGCTATACTGCTTATGCGAATACGATTGAATAATAAATGCGGCAAGATCTTATGAAGTGAGTATTTGTGCGTATATGCGCATGTGTATATGTGTATGTGTATGCGCACGCATGTGTCGGCGGCGAGCAGCCGTTAGCTGCGCCACTAGCCGAAAGCTAATTTATCCGCAACCGAAGAAGAGCACCTAACGCCCCACACTCTTGCCAAGCACTAAAAATGTTTGATATTTCTTCATATATCAGCACAGCGCACTCCAAGAGAGTGAGGAAGACAGAGAGCGAGAGAGAGAGAGAGATTGAATGAGAGCGAGCGCATAAGATTTCAAATAACTAAAGGAAGAAACTAGCAGAAACTCAAAGAATAGCAGAAACATAATCAGACGCGCAGCAAAGCAACAAGTGCTGCCGCTTAATGAACAGAAAATAAAGCCAATTTGGCTGTTTGTTACATAAACAGCTGTGGAACAAACTGAGGGGATGTTAGATATTATTTAATATTATTGTGTATTTGTATTATTTATTACTTAAACACTATACTTTATACTTAAACACTATATTAGTGTTTATCATACAAATAATATATATTAAACCCAGAAAAAGCTGACATTTTCAAATCTAGCGAGAAAAAAGCGAGCATACCAGCACTGAGCAACGACTTTAGATTTTCGCTCTCTCTTTCTCTCACTCTCTTCTGTGCACTTTTTCTCTCGACACTTGCACTGAACTAAATAAGTTTCGCATCAAAGCAAATGATGATCCATAAATGAATGGGTCATTCCACCACGATTTTGCTGTTGCTACTGTTGCCTTATTGCCCTCCTTGCCAATGAAACTGTTGTGGTATAAATTGTTGCGCTCTTCTCTGTTTTGGTAAACAAACCAAGTGCAATCCATATGGCATATGGATTAATATTTGAGTTACCACAGCAAAGCTAAACCTAAATGTTCTCTGTGTAAAATGGTAATGTGCACATGAGCGAATTGATGTGCATGTGTATGTGTGTGTGTGTGTGTGTGTGTGTATAAATAACAATGTGTTTCTTCTAGTGCAGTCATTAAGTTTATAGCTTTGTTTTGGTTTTTAGCTACTGCAGACGCCACCTACCGGCAGTTTTGTGTAGGGTATTGAGAGTGATCATTATGATTCACACTCCTTATTGTTAATACGTTTTACCGTTATGTACTACATACATACATACATAACATTTCAATTATCTTGACTTATCAATGGAAATACGTATCTACGTATCTATAAAGTACAGAGATATTGCCAAATCAAATTGATAACACTTTATGACTGAGTAAAAATGAGTAAACACATGCATTCATATGTACATGTGTATGACCAACTTCAAGAAATAATTTGAATAATTTAAATAAATAAAAAAATAAATGTATAGATAAATATATGTATATTCATATAATATATATTTTTAAATATAAATAATAATATATATTTTTAAATATATATAAATAATATATATAGCCATATATGCATATAGACATACATATATTCATATCTATCTAAGAGCATTTAACCTTCGTCATGTCCACATTTCTTGTCGTTAATTATTATTAATTTGAACAAATAAGTAAACAACATTAAACGTCTTGGGGGGAAATAATGTAATGCGTATTATATTCATTTAATTCGACGCACTCACTGGACACTCAAGGCGAAAACCAGACCAGTATTATTGAGATATTTTACATATTGTATCTATCTACGCATCTACTATATAGTTTATCATTCTAACAAAACTCAGTGCGCAATAACTGAAATTGGCTCTTGGCCAGTTTTTGATCTGTTTTCAAAAGAAATATGTATTCATATATTTTTACAAATCAACAATAATGTGTAACAACTAGAGTTGGTCGTACATTTACATGTCGTACACTATAAATGTCGTGATTTTGATGGTAACACGCGTGACTCCTGAGGAGCTGGCGATACGTAAATGTATACGTATGTGAGATATAGATAGGATATGTAGATAGGCTCTAGTATTTGTATGTCTTGTCTGGAAGGAAAATGCTGCTTGATACTATTCAAATATTTTTTGGGATAGGTTATTTAGCCTTTCGGACAAGTTTTTGCAATATACAATATGTTGAGAGAAATTTAAAATATTGAATACAGTTAACATTATTTTACATTTCATAAAGATGAATGAGACTTTGACTTGAGATCAAATAAATACACATATAAATATTGCTCATTGAACAAGCAGAGCATTAGAAATGAATAAAATCAATTTCTCTATATCAATATCAAATTATTGCTGTAAAAAAATAAACCTTAATTTAAGAATGTCTTTCTATAGGATATGTAGACAAAAGATATCAATGAGGCCAAACAGCAAATTCGTCCTATATTTCAAAGGCATGGCAATTTCAAATCATATATAATTCCTCTTGGTACTTGGTAGCTCCAACTAATATGACCCAAAGTCGCGTGGGCATGGATCTTACCTAGCTTGTGATTTTCCTTGGCGTCCTCGCAGCGTCGCACGACTCGTATCACTCCGTGTCCGGCAATTGGCGAGAATGTGACAATGCCGCCGATTCTGGCTATGTGTGGGGGTATACGTGGGTCTGTTTCTGTGTCCAGGCCTAGCTCATTTGTGGCCGAAGAATTGGAGTCTGCCTCGACGTTGTCTCTGTTGATGGGGTTGTTCCCATTAACATTGCCGTTGCCGTTGCCATTGCCATTGCCATTGTTATTGCCATTGCCATTTGATCGATCCTCTCCATTGGTTCCATTGGTTCCGGTTCCATTGTTGTTGGAGATGTTTGTAATATCGTTGCCGAACGGGCGCATAATTCAATTTTAGAGATCCTCCCGATGCTTTTTAGTCAGCAGTGCGATTGTTTCTGAATTGGTCTATTGCCACCAGAACACAAGTGTACAAATTATCAATTCTATTTCACTTCAACTTCAATTAAAAAAAAAAAAAAGTACAGAAAAAAACACACAGCGAAACACTTTAATATTTTTTATTATTATTATTTATAGTTGTATTACGAACAATTCATTCAATTGCATTACAGAAAACAGCTTTGAATTAAATTCGCGATCACCAACTGAACGTCACTCTCTTGCGCATTGAAATATTGAAAATTCGTTTTACTTTCGGTTTTTATAGCACGGAAGAAGAAAGAAAAACTGCGCACAACAAAACAAATGGAAAATAAAATAAAATGGCAAGAAAAGCAACAAATCGGCTCGACAGCAAACATATCTATACTCTTTCCAACTGCGAAACACTGAAGAGTGCATATAAAGATAGGGAAAGCCATCGATATACGTATATAGAGTAGCATATTGTAAAATATATGCATATGTATGTGAGTGTAGGAGTGCCAGTCTCAGAGCAATACTTGTGCGACTAGTATATATATCTATATAGACGCACTATATATATATATAGTGACTGACACTAGACTTTTAGAAGCTGCTATATTTAATCTGAAGTCATCGAAATTGTGCTTGATATATGTATATAAAATTCATTTTCTATTTGATTCCTTTTCAGTTACATAAATAATGTTGTGGCATTGCAACTCGTGCGCGGTTAGGGTATTATATGGCATGCTACAAAATCTTGTCTTGTCATCGTAAGAGCAATACCCCCAGTTATAAACAGTCTTTCTCTTGGTCTGCTCGGTTCTGACAACGGAAAAGTGTAAAAGTTCAACACGATCGAGAGAAACATAGAGCTAACTAGAGAGAGAGCGAGAGAGCGAGAGCAAATGAGAGAGAGAGGAAATGAATCAATGCGAAATTGATGCGTATTCGTTCAAAATATACCCATATATATATGAATATATATTTGTATATATAGAACTTAGCTCTGACGCATAAATTGCGATGTTTGGATAACGGAACTATTGTATACATTTTCCGCACACTTGCCAATGTCATTACATATATGTATGTATGTGTATGTGTGCATGAATTTACACATATATGTATTGTATACAATATCTATGTAATTGCCTATGGATACTTTATCTTTACCAAGAACAATAAGCAGAGATTGTGGGAATACTGACAATCATATGTTGTATAAATATATTGAAAGCCTGTGGACATGTTGTAAGGGAATATCTTTATCAGATATGTATGTTTATATTGATATCAATAATCAAAAATAAAAAAAAATAAAAAAAAAAAATAGTAAAAATTAAGTACTTGAGATTGATGAATATACTAGAAAATAAAATTTGTAATTACAATTCTTAATTTGATCCGATTAAAATCACTAAATCACTATAAATATAAAATTAAATATATTTATTAAGAATACAAATCTATATAAAGGTTAACAAACAAATAATGTGTTACACACTTTATGATGAAATTAGTACACTCACTCTGTGTTAGGGTATTACCAACGAGCTTTACAGCTTTTGTGCTTTAGCATTTCTAAGCGTTTTCCTCAATAAGCTTACACGCAATATATTATTAGATGCTTATATACGATACCCACTAAAAGTGTGTATGGCTAGGTAGGGTCTACCCTGCCTGTGGCAGTGAACAAAATGCTAGCACATAGATGCGTCCTCAAATATTATCATGCCAGACATATAAAGAAGATATTAGGGATCAGAATCTCCGTATTATACCTAAAACTCTTGGTTGAAAAAGCTGTCTACGCTGTGAGCCATGATATTTACCAATATACTTTATAGGTAATAAAGATCACTTCTAAATATATTGGGGATATGTCGTAATCTATGTATATATTAGTATTACTAGCAGACGTTGGATATATTAGTTAGCTAAGTGACAGCTAGGATCGGGGCTCGAGTCTCAAGAAAAGTATTATGATATGGTAAACTTTATGTTACACTTTTCATGAGATCATGAATTGGGTGATTTCGTTTAGTCTATGCGGTGTTTTTGGCGGTGATGAAAGTCCTCATTTGATCTAAAAAATGTGTCGGAAATTTGCAACCTCAGAATGTCGTCGTAGCTTGCCTCCCAGGGGTCTAGATATAGAAACGATTCTTGTACAAACGATTCTTGTACAGTCTTCGGTACTCGGTTTCGCAAGTAGTTGCTAACTATATCCATTATAATAATTATTATAACAAGTAAGAATGATCTAGTCGAGACTGATCTACCCCTGAACCCTTCGAAGAAAGGTCAACTGCCGACCAAAATTTAAAAGTCAATGAAAGTATGTTTTTCTAAATATTTTTTTATGCCCTGAAGCCATTAAAATATATCAGGGTATAATGTGTTTGTAAAAAAGGGCGTCGAGTCGAGTTGAGCTAACGTCTATCCGGCTGTCCGTATCAACGCCTAGATCTCGGAAGATATAAGAGCTACAGACTGTATCACGTTTTTTCGAAAACACATCCTATTTCTTGTTTTTCGACAATAATGTATAAATTGATTTCGATATCCGAAATACAGCCAAATTTAACATGAGCGTATATGCAGTTGGGCGACTCTAGCTCGAAGGATGAACGAGATTTAGCTTTATTGCTGATAAAAAAAAAATGTTTAATCGACAATGCAAAAATAATGACAATTATCGATTCCTTTAAACACACTCAGTCTATGCGTGCTCTACCAAGACCTACAAACACTGTTTAAAGTTTCTAGCACTTATAGGCTTTGAGATTGACGAGTTTACAGATAGACAGACGTATATGGCTTAATTAACTTAGCTTGTCGCCCTGATCAGCGATATACTTTATTGGGTCTGCTAGGCCTTTTTCTGCTTGCTATATATTTGAACGAAACCTTTATATGCACCTTGATTTCCATTTTCAGTGGGTTTAAGATATACAAATGGAAAGAATTGAGGCAGATTTGTGGTAGTTTAAAAAAACTCATTTACTTCGATCAAAGTTGAAAATAATTATGTATAATTCAATATCTCTTATGTACTTATTGAAGTTGTATTAATTTGACAAGATTTCTAACGCACAAATACATAGTTTGCTTGTTGATTTTTGATTTTTGTTTTTGTTTTTGGTTTTATCGGAACAATTGTCTTAAGAGTAAGTTAAGTGCCGTAACACAATTAAAAAATGCCCATAGGTTCACTAACACATTTACAGTCAAATAGATAACAAATATTAATAATATGTAATTCAGGATGCTCGGATGCATCGGATTACTGCATTACCGAGCCCTGCGCATGCTGTAGGCCCGTGCACAAGTAGAGCATGATGATGCTTAAGGCCTGGACTCGTTCCTCGGACTTGACTTTCGTTGTGGCCATCGATTTCCATGGCGACTCCGACTCCAGCCTGTGTGTGGTCGCCTTTTCACCATAGCTTAGCAAAGTGTAGCCCTTCGTTTCCGCATCCAGTGCGCCCTTCAGTTTGGTGAGCTTCAATCGAAAAACGAATCGGTTATTGGGGTTGATTGAGACAAGTTGGGCTGGGACTGACCAGTTCATTTATTTTGGTAACCCTCTCGCTGGGCGGTACGTCCGCGTAGAGCAGCTTGCTCTCGCTCTTGGCCAGATTCATCAGATCCTCGTTGCGGGAGTGTCCAATGATTGGCTCTGTGATCAGCATCACTTGCTCGAAGCTCAATGCTGAACACTCCCCGGGTAGGGTCTCTAAATGCTGTGTAACTCTTGCAAAGGGATTGGGGCTACTCTCTTCTGATATCGATGGTTTCCTGAATCGCATAGGAGTCAAATTGCTTTTCAGTTAGCACTGGAGGTAGGTTATATACATGCATGCATATGGTACACTCACCGCGATGGCGTATGCTGGGGACTTGGAGGCAAACTTTTCGAATTCATTTGCGAGCTATTGCCGGAAAGGGACGAGACTATGCCGGGTATGTCTAAGTTGCTAGCTTGCCGCTTTATACCCTGTGTGAGCATGCCCGTCAAGCTGGACCGGTGGGTATCCAGATTGGCTTGCGGCATCTGCTCAGTGATATCCTCCGCTGGCAGGGAGCTTCCCGAAACGTCCACGTACTCGGGCTGGGTGATTGTAAACTCGGGCTTGTTGACCGCCATCGACAGTGTTGAGGGGGTGTTCGGTATCGATCCACCGTAGTCGACTGGCCCACACACCGTGGCGCTCTGGCACTTTGCGATGCACTTCTTGTGGCAGCACATGGTGCAGTCCTTGCACTGCATGGCATCCTTTAGCCAGATCTTCTTGCCACAGAAGTCGCACTGCGTGGCACGTTGAAAGTGCGTCCGTATAAAGTTGTGAGCCTTCGATGCTGACGTTGCACTGCCAACGCCGGACACGGAACCATCGCTGGACACGTTGGATGACCTCACTGACGCTGTTTCTGCGCTGTTCTCCTCCTGCTGCCTCTCGCTGGCCGTTGATTGGCTTTTCCGACAAAGATGAAATTTGTACACTGTTTCATAGTCAATATTAAAATATGTACCTGGCCGTCGATGTGGACTTTGATGTGTTCTTTGCGGTGTTCTCAGTGGCGGTCGCATTGGGGTTGCCATTCCAGATGAAGCCAAACAAAATGTCCCCGAAACAGAGGTTGGGATTGAAGCCAGATTGATTGGATAACGGATGGGATTTTCTATGGGTAAAGCGATATTATACTGCATGCATAGACAAGGGCGTTCTTCGATACTTACACTGGGAGAAGTGATGCCGGGTTTATGGCTATCTGCCTGAGGCATTGATTCAGACTCGTCTCACTGCACTCGACCAATATCTGACTGACCTGCAGGTTGTAGTAGCCGAGGAGAATGCTCTCGCCGGCGCACTTGCCAAACACGGACACATTCAGATAGCGACTATTGGCGTCCAGCTGAAAGTTGGACAGGTCATCCATGTGGATGAGGGGGCTGAAGGGGCAGTCGATTGTCGAGTGCTGATAGAAATAGTTGACTTCATCCAGTGGCTTGTCGCTGGCGGTGGAGCACTTGTCATCGGATTGACTGGAATGGGGCACTTTCGCCGGGATCTCCTCCAACTTGGGTTTGTCCTTCTCCTTCTGACTGTCGCCGCTCTCCCGACTGATCGTCTTCTTGATGGCCTTCGCAATGATGTTCGACTTCTTGGGCGAGTTCGTGGGCGTGGCGCTCAGGCTGGACTCGTTCGAGTTGCGGCTGAGACTGAGACTGGCCCTAGGCGCCAAATGCTTGGGCAATACTTCGGGC